ATAAATGCTTTTATCTAGACAGGGAGGTAGTTAGTTAGAACTAATAATTAAAGAGCCTAATTTAGTGTTTTTTTTATATATGCATTTACTAAGTTATTTTTACTATTAATTTACTTAATTTTAGTAATTTCCTTTTTTTTATATAATTTATAGAGTAATATAATGTTAATTATAAGTTACTTTTTACTAGTAGTGCCTAGCTTAATAAAGTAATTATATAAAGACTTTAAATCTATGCAGATTACTACTAAAATTAGTAGTAGTTTAAGTGTTTATATAATTTACTATAAAGTTATACTAAAAGTAATTATATTATTAAACTTTTTAACTATTTTATATAGTTTACTAGTAAAGACACTTTTAGTTACTCTTTTACACTTAGTAGAATTTTAGTATATAATATTACTTAGTATTTTAAAGTAGTTGCTTTACTTTATATAGTTTTTATTACTTAATATAATTAAAAATTTTAGCTATAAGCTAAAGTTTTTATTATTAGTAAATAATTTATTTATAAAAATAAATAGCTTTACATAATTAAGCTATAATAGTAGAAAAGTAAAACTATGCTTACTATTATTTATCTACTATTAAATTTATGTGTTAAGTGTGTTAATATTATTATATAAAGAGTTTGTAGTTTATGTAGTAATAAATACATTAAATGCTGCCTTTAGTTAACACATAAATGTAATATATACCTCTTTTGCATATTACTTAATATATTATTATGCAGCATTCTTATTTTTTAGGTTAATTATATAAAAGTAGCTTACTTATCTCTTCTAAGTAAAAACTACTATGTTATGTGTAAGTTTAATTCTTTTACTATTAAACTTAATAAGCTACTTTTTTACTAAAATAGTTTTACTTTTTATATAAAACTTTACTTTTTATAGTTTTTTTTTTTTTTTTACATAAAATTTTTTATTATAATGCTTAAAGTGTTATCTATTTATAAGCTAGTAATACTAAAAGTGTGCTTTTCTTTATTAGTAATTAAGAAGTAGAGGTTGTATAAAGAGATATGCATACACAGCTTTTTTTTATAGTAGTTATAGTATGTCTTAAACTAATATAGTCTTAATTTAGCAGCTTTATATAAAGGTTGTACAACCTAGAGTATTATATTTAGTAGAAAGCTCTAGCGTATCTCCTTTAGTAGCTTTATATACAGCGTGCGCATAAGCTTATCTATTAATTAAATATATACTTATATAATATTACATAGTTTAAAATACATTTTATACATAGCTTTTAAGCTTACTTTTATAGCTTAAAGTAGTTTCTAGCTTATTCTTTAAATAGTTAGTAACTAAGTAAAGATTTTTTTCTTCTTTTTATCTAAGTAGCTAGCAAACACTAGGCAGCATCTTTTATATAGTTAAGTTGTTTTGCCTTTTACTTTTTATATAAAGAAAAGGTTAAAAATTTAACTTTTATGCTTTATTAAGTTATACACTATAACTTTAAAAGTGCTATTAGTAATTAAAGTGTTTATTTTTATATAGTCTAATTTTTTAAATAGTTTTTTAAGTGTAGTAATTACACTGTCTATATAGAGCTTAATAAATAAGGCCTAATTATTTTTTTTTAGGTTAAAAATACTTAGTCTAGACTTTATATAAGTTTCCTTTACTTTTTACTTCTTTTAGTATTTATATCTTCTTTTTACACTAGTGCAGCATTGCTATCCTAAGAGGCTTAGTTTATAGTAAGCTTTAGTTCTACCTTTATAATATTTTTATAAGGCTGTTTTTTTTTTCTTTTCTATAGAAAATTTCTTTATATAAGAATTAGTTTATTTAAGTTATTTATTATAAGTAAGTTATCTTTTTTTTTATAGTATAGTTTAACCTATGTATATTAGAGCTTTAGTAGGCTATTTTTTTTAATAATAATATTTCTTTTTTTAATACTCTTAATTTTATATAAGCTAGTCTAGCTTTTTTTTCCCTTTATGCTATAATCTTTAAGCTAAGAGAAAGGTTAAGAACTTTATATATTATAAAGCTATTATAAGTATTAATTATATAATTAATGTTTACTTTTACATAGTTTTTTTAAAGTATCTTTATTACCTTTTATACTGCACTTGCTTATATAATAATGTTTAGTAATAGTAAAGAGTCTAGGTTAATTTTTAAGTATACTTTAAAAACTAGTAGTGTGGGTACTAGACTATGCAGGCTAGCTATGTTATTTAGAGCTTTAACTACTATCTACAGGATAGCTTTATTATCTATACAGTTACCTAGCTTAGTCTTTAAGATGTTAAACACTTATTAAAAAAGTGTGCGTGCACGCTTAACCTTTCTAACTGCCTAATATGCTTTTATAGGCATCTGCCTGCATGTAGCTTTTATAATTTTTACATAAGCTTAAAAATCCTTTAAAGTAAAGTTTATACTAAGGTTATGCATAATATAGTCTAGAGGTTCTTAATAGGTGTTAATCTAGCATTTGCATAGTGTATTCTAGGTATCTTATGCAGACATAGATTTTAGGAATGTAGTAGCCTAAAATAATATGTCTACATTAATAACATGTAAGACATTTTTATTATTAATTTATATAATATTAATAATAACTTTATAGTTAAAGTAGGTGTTATTTTTAATTATAAACTTAAATCTTTATAAAGCCTAGTTATATAATTAGTAGAGGTAGCAAAACTTCTTAATCTCTTCTAGCACTACAGCATTAATGTTATAGCTAGCGCTAGTTAGTATCTTCTAAAGTCTTTTTATGTAGAGGTGTCTAAATTAGTAGTAGAGGCAGTAGAGTTTTAATTTAGTAAAAAAAAACATAAATTTCTTTTTACTAATATTAAAAAAATGTCTTTATTTTTATATAATAAGTATAGTAGTTTTATCTTTACATATAATAATATTTAAAATGTTATTAAAGTATGCTCTAAGTTAGTTAGCATTTACTAGTAATAGTAAAAATAGTGTTAAAGTCTCTAAAATGTAGTATATAACTAGACTAATTAAGTTCTAGATTTATATAGTACTAATTAATCTTTTTAGTATTTAGCTTTTAAAGCTAATATTTATTTAGCTAAGTGTTTAATTAATTTCTATATATAAGTTCTTTTATACATACACCTTAAGTTAGAACTTGCTAATAGTAGAGATCTTTACTGCGCTTGTGTTCTATAGTTTACCTTAGTATACTATATAGTATTAGTTATTAAAGATAAACTGCTTAGCATACTCTTTAGGTTTAATGCTATAGATGTCCTCTTTTATTACATAGTATAAATAGGTAGTAGAGGTAAAGTAGTTAATAGCTTTTTTAGCATTCTTACTTTTTTATTTTATTTTCTTTATATTATGCAAATTATTATTATTTTAAGGTAACTTTTAAAGTCTTAGATATACAAAGTAATAGCTTTATATAATAAAGTCTTATTATAAAAATTTTTATATAAGGCAACATACTAGTTCTTTGCTTATGTATAGTTATTATAAGAGTAGTTTAATAACTAACATTTTTTTATAGCAGATAAAGCACTTCTTTATCTATGTGTAGTTATCTTTAAATTATAGCCTAAACCTAAATAAAAATCTTTTATATTATTTTTTTTTACATAAAGAGAAGCTTTCTTCTTATTATACAGACTTTTATTATGTAGTGTTGAATAGGCTCTAACAGCTAGCTGCTTATAGTATAAGCACTTAAGTAGCAAGAGTAAGAGTAGTGTACAGTGTGCACAGCGTATAAGGTAGGTAAG